GGGACCAACTCTATTAGCCTAATACAACACTAATCTGATTCCAAACTGTTAACATATTAAAGCTGCTTAATTATGTGTTTGTTTGACACAATGTAGTAATCCTGTATGATTTAGGGTATATTGTCACAGCTATTGACTTGCAGTGCCTCACCATTGATAAAAACACAATTAAAACCTGTTAGTGTGAGTTAGTGCCTAACTTCACCCTTTGCTGTATTGAAATGTGGCTTGTTTTAAGGGCTGCCAAGCGTCCTCCCTGCTTTATAGAAATAGTCACCACCTCTGTTTCATGCATGAAAGCAAGGAGCTGGAAAGGCTGGCGTTTGCTTTTGCAAGGAATGGGTGACTGAACTGGGAATTTAATCCAAGGATCCTGAGAAGGAGGTCTGGAATTACTTCTAGATTAAGCCAGTAGGTTAAGGGATAAGAGCATATAGTACTTGGATGTATTTGGGCAGTTTTCTGGTGTTGTGCAGTATTTTCTCTCTGGTCTGGATGCAGCCATGTTCCAAAAAGTGAAAAGCTTCCTCACATCTGTTCACTGTGAAGAGTGGGATAATGAGATGCAAAATCAAGGCAGAGCACAAGCCCTCTTTGCTTGTTTGAGCCAGGCACTGTCAGAGGAGGAGATGCCTTCCCAGGAAAAATGGCTCAGCCCTTGCTGAGGTTCCCTGTGCAAAGGGCCTGATCCTGGGCTTGTGCAGAAGCAGCTGCCCTGGTCCATGGTGGGAGCAGGACCAAACCTGGGACATTTCTGCCTCACTCACTGTGCATTCCTGTGATGTTTTACATTTTTCACAGCAGAATCCTTGTGCAGAATACAGCATCTGTGTGACTCTGCAGAGAACCAGGGAGAGGGGAGAGATTTGTGACTCCTGGTGTTAAATGATCTGAACACACCAAGGTCACTTACTATCAAAGATCTCACTAGAACTGTTCATGTGCCTGTCCTAAAACCACAGGTAGCACCTCTGCTTTTCAGACTGTGAAAATCTCTCCTGTCCCAGATTATAAATTCTTTTTGCCATTTTGTACAATACTCTTGAGATTTTCATTGCTCTTAAGTAAGGTTGGTCTGCAAATTTTACATAGCATCATTGAAATCAATACAGATTTGAGGCATTTTTACTTAAAACTTTCCTTTGAATTGAAACTTTTCAGATTTTTAAATGCAATTGAAAATCTTGAAGCCTTGGTATGAAGATTTTAACTTAAATGTGATATGGGGCTTTGGTGGCTATCCAAAGTGAAAATATTCCTGATATGGATGCCATGTAAAGTCATGCCTTAAAAGCAGAGTAAAACATTTCTGGTTTTGTGTCTGTTTCTGAGTTCAGCATCTGCAAGGCCTAATTTGGAAAAAAAACCCAAACAAACTGACAAATTCCAGGGATTAATTGATATGAAGATAAGGACAGTATCCTCTTTGACCCTAATGGATAGTGTGTGCTGTGATGGTGCCTTCAGTTGACATTATAGTGACAATCTGAAAGAATACAATGATATGAGGACCTGCCAGATGGATGCTGTGAGTTCTGAGGTGTTTGACAAGGCTCTGACATTGGGATGGATAATCAGAGGGATAGAGAAGAGGAACAGAAAGTTCTGATTTTCATATGATTCTGAAGGTTTCAAGGCCACTAATTTTTTTTCACTCAGCAGGGCTTTGCTTGCTTCAACCGAAGGACCTGGGGCTTATTGACCAGTAAGGAAGGTTTGTTCCCAGTTAGAGACGTTTGCAAGCATGGCAGCTCAAATCAGAATAAATTGAGATTTTTGAGCCCCTCCGGGAGTGTCTCTCATATGCTGAGGCAGTGTCCAGATGCTGCAAGAATATTTCCTCATTGATCATCTTCAAAGTGTGGCAATGTCTGTAGGCACAGAGTATAGTGGCAGCATTCCCATGCTGGGTGCTGGTTTTGTGTATCCCTGCTCTAAGCATGACATTTCACTGGGAGCCTCAGATAGATTATCTCCTGTGATAACATTTTTTTAAAAAAAAAGTTCCATAACTGATGAAGAGGTATTTGTAACTCATGTTTTCTCTCTAGTTCTTAAATTGACTGTTAAATATCATGCATGTACATAAAGATATGAGACGGGAAAGATGATAGTCCCCATCTGAATAAGTTTTCTTTCTGTTGCTCCCACTTTTTGGGCAGCACCATTAGCTCAGACATTAGGGTAAGTAATGGTGCTTTTTACAGTTGTCACTTACCTTTTTCCAAGATACTCTAACCTTCATATCTTATACCTTGTTTTACACATCTGGGAGCTAACTGCTCTTCAGCTGGAATTGTGGGGTTGACCCAGACTGTTTTCCCTGTGGAAATTTAGACCATAAGTGCTCAGTGGGTTGCTTTTTGGTAGCAAAGCAAATATTGGAATAGTAGGTTTCCCTATGGGCTGGGGCAGGCTTGGGTCTCCTCGTTCAGAGACAGCACATGGCACCCTCAAACCCCTACATCCCTCATGGGAACAGGATTTAAACTTCCCAGTTGGGTTGGGCTCTGTTTTTCTGTAAGGTGCCAGGCTGTGGGGCTGACTGTAAACACAGGGAGTTAACACAGGGAGAGACACCTGAACGGGAACAAGCAGCGTGCGGATTTGGAGGAGAAAGTGCCGGTCTTTTCTGGTTATTCGGATAGTCCCCGTGAGTGGTAAACAAGCTGATTGAGCCGCATTTTGGGACCAGATCTGCGTTGATCAAGAAGTTGGTGACACCTGGTGGCGGGCGCTGGCCAAACCCGGGCTCTGCCGCCTGACCCAGATTCAGTCCCTGGCCTTTGAATGAGCTGCTGCAGAATTAATGCTGTTTTCTGACAAGGGAAAAATGCTCCACGTGAGAGTTACTGTTTTCCGAGGTTTTGCAGGGATAAAACCGGTTTGAGGTAGTTGTGAGCAGCGGCAGGAGCATCCCAGCTCTGCCGTGGCTCTGTGTCTGCACAGGCAGGATCATGGCCCTGACACCATCTGTGGCTTCACCTTGCTGCTTGAATTGACCAGATCCCCTCTGCTCACATCACCTGGAGTGTATAGTCTGTGAAGGATGGGAAATTTTGGGAAGAACAGACTATTAAAGAGGTCAAGTACAACTGGCTTCTTATCTGGTATACTGTGGAGAAAATATATACCATTTCCATGTATCAAAATTCTGAAGTTTTATATCACTGGTGAGTATGTGGATCATTTTGCATGGGCAACCAATTAAAAATAATACAATAACATGTTTGCATTAATCCATACCTACTGTACTTGCCAGAGTCTTAACTTGGAAGACAACCTTTGCCTGGTTAGGGGATTTTTGGAGTCACTGACCCTTTTTGTTGAAAGGACCCTCCCTGCAGCCAGCTGGAGCCTGCCAGGATGGGGCACATCTGGAGCAGTGGTTTGGGATGTGCAGCCGCCGCTGTTCAGGGTGGTGTTCGCCCCTGCAGAGCCAAAGAGTGACTCAGCCAGGCTGCAGTTGGGATCCTTGTGCATCTCAAAGGGTAAAATGTACAGTCCCAAAACTCTGTAAAATGAAAACCAATTAAAAGATCCTTGAAGATTTCTTTAAGGTGACTTTTCATCCTTTAAAGTCACATCTCCTGAAGTGTAGCAGCATTATATCAGAGAAATTACATGAAAGGGTTCTTGGGAAGGTAATGTTGCTGCTATCTTTCCCCAGTGATGGCTTTATTGCAAGAGATGAACTATAAAACATATTTCTTGGACAGCCTAAGATTCCAGTATTTTAAAATCAGAGAAATAGAGACTTTTCCAAAATCCTGTCAGTTCAGTTGTACTAAGATGTCTTTTCAGACATAGTTTAATATTTTGGAAGACTTTTTATGCTCAGTTTAATTAGTTTCCTCCAATTGAATTTGGATTTTGCTTGTTGACTAAGTGATTCTTCCCCAAACTGCCTGAGGCATCAAGTTGATCTTGACAGAAATGCTGAAGTAAACATTATTATTTGGTAACTGTGACTGTTCAGAGCTGCACCACTGGTGCCAAACTGTTACTCACTATGACAGCTCATTATCTCCCTGATTCCCAATTCTCTACATATCTTTTTGTTTATTCTGTTGGGCTGAAAATAGATGTGTGTCCATTTTTGTGTGTATTGTTGTTTTCTGTACAGCAGTGAAACCACATTTATTAAGTGTACAACATCTTGTGTAGTTCTAGTGGTGCTGAGGCCAATGGGGAGGCATGCCCTGGTATAAGCTTGTTTTGTGAAGTCCGGGGTATTATTTATATTTCTATCTATGTATAAAACCATAAGGCATAGGCTTTTATTTTATTTTTTTTACATATATACACATTTATAATAGTGTTTGAGCAGCTCAGCCTGTGCACGGATGAAGATGACCACTGTCAGTCTTGACTCAGTCAAGGTCAAGTCTGTGTTTACCTGCCAGAGTAAATAAAGAGCATTCCTGATCTAAACACTTAGAGATGTCTTTTGGAGGTCATCTGGCTTCTGGACAGTAACATTTTCCACTCTAGGTGACTTCTTTAATAACCCTGGCCAAGTGTATCTGCTGTAATCCATGGGCCATTGTTGGAATTGCTGTAAATTGTTCAGAACTGTTCTGAATCTCTATTAGAGGTTTCTTTTTAATGCTTCATCTCAATAAAGGTGAAAACACTAAGCACTGCAACTTGTTAGCACTGCAGCTTGCTTCTATACTGTATTATTCAGATGGAATATGAAGATCTGTAAGCCCATGTTTAATTGGTAGTTTGTCCCAGTTTTAGTTTGGAAGATGGCCTTTCAGGCACGCACACCAGGAAGATGAACAGAGTGAGAACTGTTACTTCCTTTTCTGGTTTGTGTTTCACTGCTGCAGCCTGGGTCACCTTGGCAATTGATCTTATTTTGAATGGGAGTTTCCTGATTTTGCCTAGGTAGCTGTATCCATGTTGGTCCCATAAATCTTAACAAAATCCCATAAATCTTAACAAAAGCAAACTAAAAAGTGTTAGTTCTTTTTCCTTACATACTAGGGGGAGCAGTGATGGAATCATAATTGCAGAGACTTCTCCAGATCAAGTGACTGTGCCACGTGGAGGACTCCAAATACAAGATGATGTATTTTTCATGAAACGTCTCTCAGCTTGAACAGCTCGTGCAGCATCACCAGGTTGATAAAAGTCAGTATTTTAATTACTTTAAAAATATTTTTAAGGAAAGATGTTGCATTTTTGTCTGTGACCTGGGACAATTTTGATTCTGGTCTTTTAACCAAGCAAGTAGCTATTTTTATGTTTAAGCAGAGTCTGTAATCTGCATTACACAGATCAACAGATTATGGCATATTTGGAAAAAGAACTAAAGCAAACAAATTGAAAACCAGATATCTGACCTTATCTAAGCAACAAACTGCCTTGCCACCCTCATGAGAAATAGAGACAGAGCCCTGGAAGGCTGCAGGTCTCGCTGCAGATGTGGGTTAGAACCCACTTCAGAAAACTACCGATTGTGGCAGGTGCTGCAAAATGCCACTGCAGGGAAAGGATGTCCTGCTCTCAGGGCATCCAAATATCTCTGCCCTGAGCAGACTGCAGATGCAAGAGGTTGCACTTGTCTACCAAGCCTTGTTCAAAGGGATTCTGCCCTTGCAAGGCACTGGACTGAGAAGCTCCACTAACATGATCTGCCTGGGTCTCAAGCCCTTACGGTGATGCCTTTTGAAGCAGTAATGTGATTTAGTCAGATAGGAAACATTATTAATCTCAAAGCTCCAAGATGACAAATGCATACAGTTGAATGTGTTACAGATGTGTGTGGTGGTGTATTAGGGCCTTGGAAAGCTTCCAAACAACTTTGGTGCTGGTTGTCCTGCACTACACAAGCTTGTGACAGAACCCTGTTTTCCCTGCATACCTTGGAGTGGGAATGGCAGGGAAGGTTCAATGGATTGTCTGCAGATTGTTAAGAAACTTATCTGCTTCTCCTTAATTCTGTTTTGTTTATGTTTATTTGCAATAAATTTCACCAGTGAAGAAAACAATGAATAATTTTATGAAAATACTGACAGTTATTCCAGTCCAGAATATTTTTTCCTAAATCTAATTTTCTCAGAAGTACTGGCTTTTTTCTTCAGTGAGCTGGAGTCATTATATTCTGTATGTATCCATTGTCATAAAAATGCTGACAAAAGAATTTGCCAAAATAGCATTTGCTTGCATAAATTTAGTATATAAAAACTTACTTGTGATGAAGTTGAATACAAGGAAAAGCTATTTGCTACGATGAGCACTGGCCCCCATTTGCTGTGCCATCAGCTCCAGTATCAGAGACAACTAAAGGTATTCCTGTGCATGGATTAGTGGATATTTATGTGTACTGTATGTCAGGAGTGGTATTTAATGATATTTTAAATAGTGTGGAAGGGGCCTGTGTTGCTGCAGTGAAAAACTGAGATGCTGAAGGAGAAGGTGAAGATGCTGAAGGTCTGACTGCCACTCACCTCTCTTCTGGGATACTCCTGCCTGCTGGGATTAAACTCCTGTGCTTGGCAGCATCTGTGTAGTCATAAGGATTTTAGAAAAAAATAGATTTTGCATAGTTTTGTCTTGTAATATCCAAAATGTGGCAAATGGCTCAGTCCCCATGCCTTTGCCTGTTCACCTACTTGCCACAGTTTATTTGCCCGTCCCCAATGCACATGCTGTCCATGGTGTAAGAACATGGAAAAGGAAAAAAAAAACAGCAAAAAACCCCAAAACCCAAACTAAACAAACAAAACAAAAGCCAGGAAAGAAATATGGGGAAGTTTAAAGGCTCAGCCTTATATTGAATGTGCACAGCTCTCAGACTCATTTAAGTCCACTTGATCCTCTCACAAGGGGAGCTGTGCATGGGGGATAATTCCATATGAAGAGAATTTATGTTTATCTGGAGAACTTCAACCACCCTGATAATTAAAAGCAGGTATGAGGGGTTCAATGCAGACTTTCACAGGTGAATGAGGAGGCAACCAGGTCTTATTTAGCAGCAAGGACTGATGGAAAATGAGCAACTGTGGGTAAAAAGCAGGATTGTGTCCAGCCATTCCACAACACATGTATATATTTGATCATGCTTGAAGGCTGGCCCAGAGGGGGCTGTCTTCATGGATGGAGAGTACAAAAGGAACAAATATTTCTTTCCCTGATGCAGCCCTGATCCAATGCTGCTTTCTCAGAGAAATGCTGTAATAGGCTGAGCTCAGCTGCTGGAATGGCTGCTGTTGCTGCTTGCGAGATAGGCATAGGTTAGAGAAAGTCAAACTCTTCTAAACTGGCTCAGCCCCAGCATGGTTCACAGCTTTGAGGGTGCTGATGTCCTGGGCAGAGCATGCAGGGAATGCCTTTTCCTAAGAGCTGTTCATCTTGGAAATGCCTGAGAAGAATCAGGTGTATGTAATCAGGTGTACAGGCAGCATAGATGGAAGCTGGAGGATAACTCTGGAGTGGGATTGACACAAGGAATGTTTGCTGAGAGCTCTTTAATGAACTTCACTGTCTCTCCTTCATGGGCTCTGCAGTGACTGCAGCTTTGTAACTCACTTAGGAGACTTCCCTTGCTTTTAATAGACTGATTTTCTGTGCTCCTTGGTGTTCCAAGCTATTCTATTACTCAGTTGTCTTCATTGCCAGGGGAACGATGCAAAATCAGCTGCTGTCAAGAGGTGAACAGTGACATCTCTGGGCACAGAAAATTATCCCATGTCAAGCTATCTGTGTGCACCAAAAGCACCTCATGCTACACACATTGTGAGAGTCAGAAAAGTCAGGAGAGAGTTTAAGAAGCTACTTAAGAAGCCCCATCTGGAGTCCATCACAAAGAAAGTATCATTCTGGTGTTCCTCATTTTGTGTTCCTTTTCCCAGCAGGTAAAAGGGGGTGTGGGCAGGGATGGTACAGCATGCCTATGGTCTGGCAGGTAGCATGACACCATCTGCATCCCAGCTGCCACAGCTTTGCTCTGTAAAACGTTCTGCACTGTTTCATCTTCCTGGGCTTTTCATGGTAAGTGCCTCTGTGCATTGCCAGCTTTCCATGGCTCAGCTGGCAAAGCAGTACCTGGGGAGATGGTCCCTGAAGTCAGACTGCTGCTGCAGAAGTCCTGTGTGTAATCCCACACTCATACCTTGAGAAACTAGTCCCTAGATATTCTATATCGATTCAGGTTAAGGGAATTATAATTGAAAATATTTTTCCTTGTTACCCATGTTTTACATTGTCCTGTTTAGTTTCATTTCAGTCTTCATAGTTATTAAAAGCATTTTAGCCTGTTTTCTCAGTGAGTGCACAAATGGTGGTCCCTTACAGAAGAATTTAAAGCAGAGTATATATTTTCTGTTCCATGTTTGTTTAAGCAACTGTGACAAACTCCCTGGCTTTACAGGTGCATTCATTTCTTTCCTGGAGTGCATCAAATGACTTTCCTTCTCACTGCTGATCATCAGAAAACTCATTCCTCTCCCAAGTGCTACACTTCTTACCTTGCCTGTGAATCCTGCTGTTGCTGTCTGGCACCTGTGGCTGATACTGGCTGAGGAGGTGTTAAGCTGAGCAGCCACCCCAGAGGTGAGGTGTGGCTTTGTGACACACTTCAGTCTTCAATTCATATGCTGCCCAGATACATACACAAAATAATGTGCTTGATAACAAATTCTGATTTATGAAAGTAGAACTAAACTGCAGACTGAAAAATTGGCAAAGTGATACAGCAATTGTAAAAGATTTATTTTGCTTGATATCACAAGTAGCCTTTAGTTCTTCCCTTTGGGTCAAGCTGGAAACTCTATGCCTTACTTTAAGATGAAGTTTCTTGCTTGTATTTTCTAGAGGTTGCAGCACCTACCTTCTTCCATATGGAAAAGGAAATTACCTGGGCAGGAAAAAAACCATGTCCTGCATCACTGCAGACAAGAATGTAGCACCTGTACCTATTTCAGAGTTTTTCCTGCATTTGTATACTGAACAGTCCTGGTTTCTCACTCTTTCTCCTCCCCTTTTCTTAAGTGGCACAGGTCATTTCTGAGAGGGAATAGAGGGCATTGAGGTGGAACGTTGGGCAGACCCCATTTACCCTGTGGAAGACGCTCTTGGGTGAGTGCTTAGTGCTGTGCCATGACTGTAGTATTCCTCTCCAGGTTCCTGCACATTGCTGTGATAGTGCAGAGCAGCATGAGGCATTTGTGTGACATTTATGAGAGGAGACAAATTCCTCTTGACCTGGAGTGATGCATTTCACAGACACAGAGGAGTGTTTTCTTGATTAGGTACACTTAATTTTCTTGTATGGATGTACACTGTCAAGGCATTTCTTCCAGCTTTCCTTTGATAGGGAAGATCTGTTGATGATGCTGGACTGCCACTGAGAAATCTGGGCTCAGTTCTTGGCTGGGTCACAGACTTTATGAGATGCTGGCAAGCAGTTCCTTCTTGTGCCTTGGCTGTGAATGAGAAGATCTTTTGTTCTTCTATTGGGAGCTCAAGGCTTTTCCTTTTAATAATGAACTAGCCTCAATGCTATGATGTAAATAAGGCTTTCTTTTGCATATTTCTGTGCAGTAGTTAGATGCCTTAAGGAACTTGTAAATGAAGCAACACGCACTTTCAGATAATATTTGTATAGGAGGTAATATAAAGGTTGATCTTTATTGGAGGCCTCCAGGGACAGGTATGGAAAATATCCACAAAAGCCCACTCACACAGGGTGAATACAGTTTCTATAAATTTAGCAAATTAGCATAATTGACAAGAATTCCCAATTAGAAGCACAGGTGATGAGGTAATTCCCCCTTCTGGTTCAACCCTTTTCTGGAGCCCCCACCATGGTAATGGCTGTACTTTGTTCATGAAAAAGTGTCTCAAAGAGCTGTTCTCAACCTTGGTAGCCAGGGAGAACCAAGATAGGATAGGGACCCTTGGAATGTGTTTTGTCTTTCTGCCTAAGGAAAGAGCATTAAAAACTACTGGGAAAAGTATGCAGTAGTACCATAATACACCACAAATATATGTGTAAATAATACAGAGAATAGGTAAAAGAAAAAGGCAAAAATCAGCACAGTATGAGTTTGATCCATCAGTTCCAATTATCTCCAGATTTTTTGTTCTTTTTTCCTATGAGCAACATTATCCTCTCTCACATTTTCATTCTCCTTTGTCTAACAGTGATGAAGAAGAGATACACATGTTGATTAAGTACTTTAAGGGTAAGATGTGGTGAAGAGTTTATCTGTTGCAAGTCTCTTCTCTTATAATCCTGAAAGGTTAGTTGGAGCACTAAAAGAACTCTCTCTGAATGATATTGGGTGGAGTGTTCAGCTCATAAATATTTGTGTTTCATTACCATATCAATGAAAATCTGGAAGGCTGTTATACCCTGTTGGTTTTGTCCTCACTGACTGTAAAATTTTAATTGGTTTTACTTCTGGTGCTTGTTAACCCAAATGTAATGTTGAGTTCCAGGGGAGAAGAAATCCCTTCCAAAATTTTGGAAGTAATTGTTTAAATAGAGGCATGTTTTTTGTGATTAATTTTTTTCAAGACAAACTGTGTTCTGCTCTTTGCAGGGGAAAAGCCTTCCACTCCCTTTATCCATATCCTTAATTCAGCCAATGTGTTTACAAGGACTGAGCATTACAATCAAAGCACCATCAGGACTCAGCTGTAACTTTGCCTACAGTAACAAGATTGCTAAATAACTGTTGTGTTATTTGTGCTGTAAGCTCTGTGAAAGTGGCAGACTTTGCTCCTTTTTTTTTAATTCCACCTGCCCCAAAATATGTGCCTTAGCTGACACATCCACCCTGACCTTCCTGTGGGAAGCTAATGCTGGCCCTATCTCCACAAACCCCAAACTGGGACCAGAGTCAAATGAGAATGGGGAGAACAAGGTGGATCTGCAGAAGAAACAACTGATGAGCAAAAAAATGCTCTGGAGGAGACTGTTGCTCACCACAGGGTCAGCATCATCTAATCTTTCAGTGCTGTGATTATTTCAGAAATCATGTGCCTTATGGATAATGGTCCATTTTCCCCATCACCTCCCAGCACTTAATGCATGTAAAATTGTGGGCAGAGTCCAACTTCCATCTGATTTCTATGCAATTGCTTTTAGTCATTAATCACTGTTGATACCCTGAAAGCTGAGTGAAAGCAATCATTTTAGCACCCTTCAGTATCACTGTCTACAGAGCCTTGTTTAAGCCTGTTTTAAGCATCATCTGCATCAGAGACCCCAAGCTGGATCCTTTTCCTCCCTGCCATGGGAGGGAACACTGGCTGCATCCAGGTTCTGGGAGAGACAGCTTTTATGGGCATGGGAAACATCACATGAAATGGCACCTGTACATCTCCACAGGATCCTCCTGGTTGGCCAGCTATCCAAAATATCATATCAGTGTTCATTAGTGGGTGGCAGCCCTGCCCATGGCAGAGGCCTTGGAGCTGGATGATCCTTAAGGTCGCTGCCAACCCAAACCAGTCTGTGATTCATTCTGTGATTCTATAAATGTCATGTTTAATATGGTAATATGTATAGTCAAATACTATACACACAGAGAGATTTGTCCTTTAACTTGTTTTGAAGACTCTTGTTTACTATTGATTTGTGCCAGCCTTGCTCTTATTTTAAATCCATCCAGGCCTTGGTGTTCTTTGACTTCGATGCTTCATACTCCTCAGATAGCAATTTATGTGTTTCATTTATAACCTCATGACAGGCCTTGTGTTTCACAGTAATAAAAAGGGTGTTTTACACTTAAAATGATTAAATTGTCAGCTTCTGAGCACACACTGAAAAATTGTCTCTGTCAATTGTCTATTTATGGTTTTCATGAGAATTTGCATGTGCAAATCAGATGTTTTGTTGCACAATCGCATCTGAGTTGTTGTAAATTAATCCAGGCAGATTTGACAGGTATGTTTGTGATAAAGAATTACTAAAATATGCTAAAAACCTGAAGGGTGGCTGAAACTCAGATTTGGTCATTGACATTAAAAGGATGTGATTTTGCAATGCTGCTTAAACCTTCTTTGGCTTAATTTCATTTTATGCAAGCGTGTTAGTATTTTGTGTTTTCCTTGGTAGGGAATTAGTCCTGTTACATGCTTTATATGTTTTCTGACTTTTTACTCATATGTATGTACTGTTTATCACTTTCAATTTTCATAAACTTTATATTTATTTTTTTTCTGATTGATCTGTACTTCAGAGTTAGCATCTATGAAAGAATGAAGTACTTTTTTTCAGGCTCGTCATGAGACTTTGCAGCAGATGCAGCATTTGGGGATGAAGTGTAAATTCAGTGAGCCCAGCACAGTGCTCCAACACCAGTGTACAAGATAGCCAAAGTAGAGGATGGTCGTGTAACTAGAGGAAAAAAATACCTCTAATATTAGTATACTACTATAATTTGTAACTGTGTGAAGAATAGGAACAGTATCCATCTTAGTTCTCTGCCCAGTTGTATTTAAAGACAATAACTGCATGCTAAATCGTTAAGTAGACAGAGTGAAGATATTTTATCTGCAAATCTAAGTGTTGCTCAGGTTTCACACATCCCCAGAGTTGCTCTGCACAGCCTCTTGGAGAGGCTAGCCAGTGTCCAGGGAAGGAGAAAGGAATGGGCTGAAGAAGAACCCAGACACACCTGGGGTGCACTTGGATTTGTGAGCATGGACATAATCACCAAGCCCAGCATTCCTGGGGTCTGTGCAGGTGAGCTCAGGTCAACCCAAGTGAAAATTTAAGAGGCCATCATCAATTACAGCTCCAGAATCACATACAGCCATTGCTTTTAAGGGAGGGAGAGGGAGGGACCAGCAGTTTTGGCTGAAAAGCTGGTGCAGGTGTGAGCTGAGCAGGTGATGTGCTCAGGTAAGCCAGACCTGCTTGGTCCTTGCTGTTGCTTTCTCTATAATTCCTGTGCAGAGATCTATGGGGCAGGACTGAAAACATGCACAAGGTAAGTCAGTGAGAAAGGGGATCAAGTGATTTTAGGCTTACTAAATTGTCTGTGTAGCCATTGGAAAGAGCTAGGCTGCTCCTTAAGGTAAGGGATGAGGTTGATGCTGAGAAAATACCTGGAGGCATCTGATTTCATGTAAACATCCTTTGGGAAGGTGCAGGAACAGATTCACAAGTTCCCTGGAATGGGACTCTGCAGGAAGGGGAGTTTTGAGGAAGGGTTGGTGTTGGTGAGGACAGGGTGCTTCACAGACTGGAAGGAAGAAGTCTTCTGCAAAGTGGCCAGACTGTGTGTGGGGCTACAGCAAACTGGCAGAGCTGAGTGATGGGCAGGTGAGGTAATCCTTCCTGTCTTGCTCTGTGCTAGTTAGAATCTGGGAAACCATCACTTTTTGGGCTTCATCCTAAGAAAAGAAAAAAAGAAAGATAGTTGGGAAAATGGAGTCAAGAAAGAGACACTAAAAATGAACCGAGGGTAGAGGCTGTGGGGAGAAAACTTGTGGGCTTCATGCTATTTACTGTGAGGGGTAAAAAAAGAGGTAACTGGGAGGAGGTGAGATCATGTTTGAGTTCTCCTGGGCTGCTGCAGAGAGGAAAGGAAGGGAATGGGCAGTTCTCTTGTATGTGCTGGTTGGCAGGAAAAGATATGCTATTAAGGGATAAACAATTTTAAGGGGCAGATGGAGAAACGCTGAGGTAGATTTGCCCCAGGAAGTTGTGGAGTTGCAGTCACTGGGAGTCAGAAGTTAGATTAACATCTGCCAGAAAAGATAGAGCTGCCTGGCCTCAGCTCTGAGGGTCCTTTCAGCCCTTTTTGCAATGATGACTTTGAAATCAAATTCTGCACAAAAATAAGACAACACATTGCCTTTCCTCTGCGGAGGAGAAGATGCAGGGTGTGCCCAGGAGGAAGAGATGTGGAATAAAGTGGTTGTGGCAAGGGACAAAATGTGACTGAGACCTGAAACCAGTATTATTTCCTTCCTTCTCTTTAAATATTAATAGACTTTTTTTTCCACGCTATTAAGATAGCCAACATTATTCTAAGCTGTTGACTAAGCCATTAATGCACTGTGCTCTGAGTTATATTTTGCAGGTACTTTCCTTCCCCTGTCCAGAGATTTTGTTATGAAGTACCCTCACTGGCAGCACAGCTGGGATATGATGCAGTGTGGTACTTCATGAACAAGTTCCTTAGACCCTGAAAGGAGCAGTGACTTCCTGGGGCAAGACTCCTTTGCTTCCTTACTCAACAGTAAACAGGCTTGCAGGATGACTAATCTTGATAATAATAAAGGCAAGCACACTGTGTGCACAGGGGAAATAATAAGAAAAGGACTTATGAGTAGTTTGGAGTGGGATTCTTGGGGCTATAATCCTCATCCAAGGATGCTCTCACTACCAGGACACTGTGGAAAAGTCTGTTGTAGTTAGCAAGTGTATACCATCCAAAAACCTTTGCATGTAACAGAGTGTCAATTTTAGGAGTTACAGTCCCTCCCCCGCCTCCTGAGCCAAGTGCAGTGAGCTGAGGTCCAGGAGATGTAGCGATGGCTGTTGGAGGTGCTCTCTGGAATGTAAATCCTGTGGTTCATGGAGTAGATGTGCATTCAGACAGTTCTGTTTGCCCACCTACAGGGCTCTTGGCCTCTGGTCATCTGCTCAGAACAAAAGCTAAAACATTGAAGATTTCACCTGCTTGGAAGCTCTTGCCATCTGTTGAGATGCTTAGCAGCAAGCCTGAGTGTCAAGCCTTAGCAGCAGCATGTCAGTGTGGTCCATAATTTCTGGTCTCTGTGATCAAAGCTTCCTGATGAGTAAAACCTTTTCATCCACATCAGTGATGGGAGGAGAACAGGCTTTGTTACCCACTCCTGCTGGCAAGGGACCTGTGTTACTTGCATTGCCCTATGTGCCCTGGAGTGCAGAGAGCCAGGGCAGGCCCAGGCTGCTGCTGCCTTGGCAAGAGGCTGTCACTCACCTCCAGCTCTTCAGTCTCAGTAAAGACAGAGCAGGGAACTGCAGGCTCTCTGTTGGCTTGTTAATGCCTGTGCTTGTCACTCTGAGTAGAAATATATGTGATGGCTTTTGTGTATTAAAGGCTTTTGGTGTTGGACAGGACTGTGGAGAATTTAGAAGCAGCCCAGAAGTTGTGGATTTTCCCCCTTGGCTCAGATATGCTGAGAGTAAATAGCTCTGCCCTCTAGTGCCATTTGCCAGACCTGGTAAAGCTGAGCAGTGATCCAGGGAGCACAGAGCATCCCTTGGAGCACACTGACCTGTGCTGGTCCAGGCTGCTCGGGGCATCCCTGCGAGCAGCTGGAACCAGGACAGGAGAATTTTAGCCCCACACCAGGCAGGAAAGCATGGCATGTATTGGCATTCCTGCTGCACAGCATCCCCACGTTCATTTCTGTGTTCTCCCTCAAACAACCCCGCTTAGCCTGATATTTGCTTTCCCATTATGTTTGTTATGCCTTTGGGAGACATGCAGAAGAGCTAAATGATTTCAGCAGCTTTGCTCTTTCAGCCCCATAAATAATGAATTCATCAGGGTGAGAAAACACATGCCCAGACACAAACACATGCAGTGCCCTGCAGAGGAAAGGGAGTAAAGACAGAAGCTTGAGATCTAAATGCAGAGCCCTGTGGCAGTAAATGGGAGCTGCTTTTTGGACTGAGATAGTGTCAGGGGGTGAGTATGGAGTTAATTGCCTTAAGAAGAGGCTAAAAACAATTAGAAGTGCAAGTGAGTGCTGGCTGAGTTTGGAAGTGATAAGTTGCTACCTGCTTGGCTTTTGGACAGGGCCATTAGTTCGAAGGAGATGTTTGTTTTGTAAGCCCTGTCTTCAAGCATCAGATGAAATAATTTGGTTGCGGCTGGCACCCTGCAACATGACAAGGGGTACAAATGCATTGTGAACCACCTGGACAGCCTCAGCTTGATAGGGCAGGATAGTGGGGTTTCAAAGAACCTGCATTTCTAGAAGTTTTGTAGAAGTAAATAAAAAAATAAATGGAACTTCCCAAGTCCCACACTTCCCCTGCTGGGAGTACTGGCAGAGATGGTGTATGTGCAATTAGACACCAGAAAATCCACCCATCCCTCTTCCTCTGCTGGGCTTGTTGTGAACTTCTCAGGCTTGCAAGAGCTCTTTCCTTGCTGATGCTTTGAGTGCTCTTTCCAGGAGAGATAATGTGCAGTGGGAGGTGTGAGCCTGGCTGGTGTGGGGAGCACAGCAGCCCAAAAATCAGATGTCTGCAATCCTGGGCTTCACCAGTACGGTAAATGAAATGCAAGAGGTTCACCTGGGGAGCCTTAGCAATGTTATACTGGCTGGAGATCTTTGTGTTAACTGTTAAATTATTTTCTGGAAAAATTGCAAAGAGAAATACACTGGTTTGCAGTTAGTTTTTCAAACCTGAGTACTCCTGGACAGCCAGGGGAGCACATGGGCAGCTCTTGAGTTTAGCAAATGCTGCAACTTCAGTTCCTTGATCCATCTTAGCTTGATTTGCACTGATAAGAACTAGGGCATTTTTATAAAATTTGGTCCTCTACCTATAGCCATATCTAAAAGGTTTTACAGGTCAGCTGCCAAGATTAGGTTATCTTTTGTGGAACTGAAAATTTGTTTGGGGAAGTCTGGACAATTCCATTTGGAGGCACTTTACTGCTCAGCAGGTAACGAGGAGCAAAAAAATTTGTGCACACAGCCTGAAGATACTGAATTTCTGATCTTAACTGGTGCTTAGAGTTCTTACCTTGGCATCAAAACTGTAACTCCTTGACTATTGCATAAATAACGTTCCAGTATGCATGCACTGATTAATTTTCTTCCCCTTGATGCTCAGGCCATCTCTGACAACTCATACAACCTCTCTTGACCTGCTGTATTAGTCTCCTTGATCTCTGAAGTGACTTCTACAATATTGTGCTGAGCTCCTTCCTTCTCCCCACAGATTTTGAATGTCATTAACTTCTCGTACCCACTTTGACTGGGGATAAACACTGTGTCACTGTGGGTTTTGTGAACCCAACTGGCTGGGCTGAGCAGAGGCCTCTTGGTGCCTTCAGATGTTCACCCTAGAGCTGACAAATTAAAGTGAGGGTGAAGGGAAAAGAAGCATTAGTAATTCCTGAGTTCAAGAGAAGTTCAGCCAGAGCTTCCTCCAGTAACTGCCAGTTTCCTTCTCATCCCCCTTTATATATTTAGTTGTAATGATGAAAGTTCACGTGTGAATGCAATTATGAGATAATTTTGCGGATCATCATTCCTAGGAGTGCTACAATCATTACAGGCTGAAATAATGTAAGTAGAAACATAATAGCAAAGAGAGAGAGGAGTGAGCAAAAAAGAAAATAAGTTTTTAGCTGAATTTTGGAAGGAAACAGAGCTAATGAGTTTGAGCTCATCCAGATGGCAACAGCAGGCATTACTTTCCCTAACAAGAGGTGATGCACGTATAGAAAATAAAAGTGAATTAAAAAGTTGCCTGATTAGTGATATGGGGGTGGAAAGGGCTAGGAGTAGACTGAAACAACTAAGGTATTGTGGATTTGCATGTACTTCATCTTATTCAGAGTTATTGATACTAGGCAGTTCATAAAAGCAGGCTACTATATCTGTGTAATCCCTAGCTGTCTTTATTTTTAAAATAGTACTTGGGGTGAGCAGTTTTGTTCCTGTTGCTGCAACAGAGTGGCCAGGGAAGGAGAACAGAGGTGGCAGCAGTGGGTTTGCCCCAGCCTGGAGATCAGCACCATGATGTGCCAGGCTTTTGGACCACTGGTGTGCCCACCGTTCCATGCCCTTCTGGAAGACAGTCCACAGCATCAAACCAGAGGCATGTGCATTTTATGGGCTCAGTTATCCTCCTCCCTGTCCTGTCAAGCACAGAGCACAAAGTCCCTTGGGGCGGACGCAGCCTTTTGCAGCTCCTTTGCCTTTTTTTTTTGTTTCTTTTTTTGTGGATCCTGGTTAAGCAGGCTGACAGAGCCAGGAGCTGTATAATTAGTGGGAGCAGGTCCCCGTGTTTGCATGGGGCAGTTGTTAGCAAGGCAGTTCCAGGCTGAGCTCACCAGGCTCTGCCCTCACGCTGTGCCAGACGGAGCTGTCGGTGAAAATGGGCACAGGTGGGCTGCTTAGCGAGATGGAAAATAATTAGGAGAGCATTAGTTTTAGGTTGAAATAAATGGATTGTCCAGCTGTAGCTGCTGTAGAGAGGAAGCTGAATGTTAATTAGATGCCACCAGTAATTATGGTGATTATGTATTTTTTGAGTGGCTGTTGGGAATAGTTCAGTTCACTTCCACAGGGTAATGTGAATGACATTTCTAATCGGTTTAAGGAAGTGGAAAGGTACTTTTTTTCTATTTGCTTTTTTTTTCCTCTTTAAACAATGACAATTGCAGTAAAACAAAGCTACTGGAGGATGCAAAAAAATGTAAGTTGTTTGATGTAACTGCTCAGAAAAAATGATTGTTTATTGAAGTAAGAGAAAATGCTTTGTGTTTGCTGCAAGAAATACATCCTACTTTTCTACAGAGAAAAATTAGACCCTGGCAGAGATGGGACTTAAATCTGTTTTTCCATCTCATGGTGCATTTTCTTAACTGTGAGACAAGCAGACCTCTTGAAAACAACTCTGAATTTATTTTGCTGGCTTTCAGGCCTGTTTGATGCTTCTCTCTCCTTCTTGCACAGATTAAGGTGATGCCAGTAAAATTAATTGAAACAGTGATTTTGTAAGAGACTATTATTTATATTACTTGCCAAGGGCCAATTTTAATATTTAGATCAGAAAACTAATTTTACAGGCTTGTCCATGCATGGGGCCTCTCTGAAACAGTTGCTCCATACATATTTATGTAGGCATTGTGATAAATCAAGTGCCCACATGCGAATCTGTTCAGCAGTATCTGTTGTGCTGTATATTCAATTTTTCTTTCAGTTTTTTCTTTCAGTTGTAGATCAAGCCTCTCGCTTATACCCACTAGTTAAGATGTGAACACATTAACATGCCACCCACTGTGTCTGATAACCTAACTAACACCTGTGATCTCAGACAGCCTCAGCTCAAATTCACTCTTAGCATTATTTGTCAAGATTATTTGTAGAACAGATTTGCATAAATTGCCAACAAGCATGTACTGAACACCCAGACTTTTGTGGACTGATTTACTGGAAATGACTGGTGTGGGAGAATGTTGTTTTCCATGTAAACCAAGCACTGCTCTTGAAGGGGGATTCTCATTTCAAGAAATAATAACAAATACTTGAATCTCACACACACGAAATGTGCAAAAGCCCAAGGACAGTGAGCTGCTTTGCACAGAAAGCCTCTGCTGGTTGGACAAGGACAGTCTTCTGCAATCCACAGGGAAGGTCAACCTAAAGCACTTGTGTGGCTGCCTCACGTGAAACTTAAAAAATGCACCATTCGCCTTCGTTCACAGGGGAAATACAATACCTCAGCCCCTGACCTTCCTGAAGCTGAAGTTTGGAAGAGCCTTGCTGATGGTGATTCAGGTAAGATATTGCCTGGTGTTTGCATTGGCCATGTTACTTTCTTTTGGGGGCATGAATGATTTTTCTGAGCCTTAGGACAATACCAGATACCCTGATGACATGCAGTAGTCAGCGTATCTCAGACAGAACTGAAGATGTCCCCAGCACAGCATCCTACACTTTCATTTTTGGGGAAGTCAGTTGGAGAGGTGAAACCTTTTACCACATGGCTCAACCCTTGCTTTCCTTCAGCTTTGTTGTCCTTGTGGAGTTTCTTCAGTGGTTCCAGGTTGTGTTACAAGGGATTTGTAACCTACAAGGGTTACCTTGTTCTTTGGGTGTAACTGGAAGTCCATCCATTACTGAGTGCAAGTGCCCTGCAGCATGAGATGGGCACATACAGACATCTCCTCTGCCCTGTACCCTGGCACGGGGGCAGGTCTGTGGCATGGTGTGCCCTTCTCAGAAGCAGCTGTGTTTTGTTCGATAACAGATGCAGTTATGTAGGGGGGAAGGATTTGCACATCCCATGGAGCTGGAGCAGTGGGTGGGTTGATTGCTGGAGCAGCAGGGTGCCCCACATCTGGGAACAAGCCTTGGGCTTACAGCTGGCTTAAAACTTCTGGTAGGTTGGATGCATCTGGGAGCATGAGATTTGCCAAGGGGAAGGCTCCTGTCTCCCCTGCAAACACAACAGCCTGTGCTTTCCTTAATTACTTTCATCTAAGAAAGCTGATGGCTTCTTTGATTGAACTATGTTTAATGAAAAATAGGTAGCAAGATGAATGCATTGCTCTTGCATCTAAAATCCACAGGTAATTAGAACTTATGGAAGCAGTAATGTACTTCCTTTTCATTTCTCCCTGACCAATGAGTCAATTGAAATACATTTTCATCCTTTCATCCACAGTACATTAATTTGGGGAACACAGGGACCCTGCACACATTTTCTTGCATGCTTGGGCCGCTGTGCAAATGGGAAAATTAGGCTGGCCTTGATTTACCCACTACTTACACAACCTGTGCTCTCCTCTTCCAGATTCATCCTGAAGGATCTACTGCTGTTTGATGGGAATTCATCCAAACACACTGTGTCACTTCACGAGGAGCATAGGACAGCCTGGGACTCTTGTTTCTCCTCTTCTTTGAGGATGAAGAGTTGGAAATTTTAAATGGACACACCACAAGCAGTATAGTCAAGAGGAAGATTAGGAGTTTTGGCAGGTTTTGAATCTTTGAAGAATCAGACCCCAAGGATGGTGATCTCGATATTAAGGCCTGTGTTTATAAGAGTGATTGCTTTGCCATGTTCTCCTTGAGGACCTGGCTGAGCATCCAGAGAGGGCACATATGTTGTCACCTCCACTGAGGCAGGCTGGTTCATGCTACCAGATGTGTTTTGTTGCTTTGAGCTCCTCTGTGTGCTGTGCATTACCAGCACTTGTAGGAACAATAGGAGATTTTGCTGCTTCTGTTGCATCCTCAGTTTTCCTTGTCCTTTACTCTCCTCCTGTACTTGGACACAGGAATAGTTCTCAGTCATGCTGGTGGGTTTGCTTCAGCCCTCATGTATTGGTGCTTCCCTCCTTTGTCCTTGCTATGGCTGGCACAGCTGAGGCTGTGGGCTCTGCTTGCTGGCAGGGAGGTGGCAGCTCATTGACAGTGCCACCACCAGGGTGACTTTGGCCTTAGAGTTTCTCTGTGTCTTTGCAGCTTTCTGAGTAAGGAGGTCTGTCAGCCTGAGGGTTCATTTGCACAAACACCATGGGTGGGAAATCTAACACTGTGTTGGGCCATGTTTATTTTAAGTGTCAGGGCTGCTGAGAGCTCTGTCAGCCAAGGCAGTCCCCCAAGCCATGGGAGCACCAGAGCTCTCCAGGCTGGACATGGTGGAAGTTTTCCTGGTTTGACTGGGAGCACTGTGGTGCTGCTTGGCAGCCCAAACAATGGCAAAAATTATTTTTTTATCTTCTTGTCTTAAACAGTGAATGAAGTTTAGTGATGGGAGGAGGACAGAACAACACAGCTCAGGGAAGAGATGTCTTCCCAGAGGGCTCTCACAGCACACAAAAGGGTTTTTTAACCCTGTGGTGCCTCTGGCCAGGGTGTCTCAGGCTTGCACAGAAAGCAGTAGTTTCCTGTGTGGCTGCAGAGCATTGTGCTGGGGCTGGTCCATCCTTGCTGTGGGGTGGGAGAAAGGGTGAGCAATTTTATTTATTTTTTTACACATTTTTAAACTGGTGCCCTGTTTCTCTCACTCCTGTGTTGATGGACACTGCTGTTGTCCATCCCAAGGATGGCTCCAGGAGCGGGCTGAGTGAAGGCTGGGGTGCTGTACCCCTGCCTCTGGTTGTAGGAGGCAGGGTGGTGGTTCTTCCAGGAGGAAAACCACCTCAGATGAAGCAGTCTCCCATGATTCCCACATGGACCTGGTGGTGCAGTGAGTGTGCTGCTGTGCTCTGTGTTCTTGTCTGTGTGTCAGTCCCAGCACAGGGAGGGGCTCCTCCAGGCAAGAGAGGTGACTCTGGAGCTGGTCTAGGTGCATGCAGGGCCCTGGCACTGGTTCCCCCCCAGCATGGCCACCTTCCTCTGGGACACCACTTTGGGAAATGTGTTGTTTCCCATCTTTTCCTTGCCAGCTCTCAGCAGTTTCTGTGCGTGCCCACCAGAGAGCAACCCCAGCACAGGGTTGTTGTCTCCAGAGAGATAGATTGTAGGGCTGAGTGTGAGGTTAAATCCATCTTTCCTCACCCTTTCCAGCCCTATCACCTCATCCCAAACCTGAGCTGAGCAGTGAGTTCAGGCCCTCTATGTCCTGGGCAAGAGGAGTATCCCACAGGGAAGGAAGGACATGCTGGAGGAGAGAGGCAGGAGACCCAGGCAAACACAGTGCCATCTCTGGGAAAGGACCATGCCATGAATTAGCAAGGGATATCTATCCAGGATGTACAGGAAACAAGGGTTCAGACAGAGGTGAACTATTTGGATGGCCAAAAATCTGGTGCTTTTTGCAGTTTCCTGTAAGTGCATAGACAAATTGTACTCATCTTGGAGAAGCACAGAGTCATTTAGTCTGGAAAAGACCTTTAGGAACCTGGAGCCCAACAGACATCTCAGTGGGTATCTTTGATGCTTGAACAGGTAGCTGGGTATCTTGGTGGGGTTTTCTGTGTGAGACTCTGTCCCAGCGTTTGGGGAAGGAACAAAGCCATGTTTTTCATGTCTCCTCAGGCTTTATGAGGTCATCTCAGCCTCTGGGCTGGCAAGAAGTCCCAGGGTAGGCAGCTGGGCTTGGAGGTTGGGGTTCAACTGTGCAACATCAAATACCTTAATTGAGCTGCCTGGGTCAGGAGGGAGGGGTGGGTAAGACTGGCCTTTCCTGGGATAGACACAGCGCAAGGGACTGAATCTCCTGCAGGAAGGACCTGTCCCTCCCCTCTGCTTGCTCTGAGCCGTAGGAGCAGCATTCACAGGCCAGTGGTGGTGCCAAGATCTGTGGCACTGCTGAGCTGCAGCCCCAGTGCCTGCAGAAATGGGCTTTGAGAGAAAGCTGAGGGAAGAAACAACTGCTTGCTATTTTTATCCTTGCACCAGCCCCCGGGGATTTCGATTGACAGGATTAGTTATGAAGCCAATATTATGAGTTTAACTATGAGTGAAATAACACAACTTCTGTGGGAAGCAGAGTAAAAGAGGCAATTATACAGTAGTTTAATAACAGCGCACTGCTGGCTGGGTAGCTGAAAACTTACAGTTGACAGTAATTAGATTTTTCCATTCTTCCTGTTAAATAGCTATAAAAATTACAACAAAAAATAATCTGATTCTCTTTTATTTCGTGCTGTTTTCATCATCCAGTCGGTATCCATTTGGCCTCCTGATTGTTCTTTGTATGGTTTTAGTATCTGGTATTTAAGACATGCAGAAATGGGACAGTGTTAAAATGCAGAAAGCATTAGGAATGAGGGAATGGCAGTAACACTCTTCTGAGCATGAGGAATCCAGGGGATGCTTGAATGGACAGTGAGAGCTTTCCAAATTGACTAACTCTGAATAACAGTTGGACTTCTAACCGCAGGAGTTATTCCAAATCATTTAAAATTACAGTAAAAAAATGAGATGTTAGGAATGAAATCCCCATTTACCTGTCTGTTACTATAATGTGCCAGATGTAGATAAGCAGGAGGGATGGAGGGAGGTGCTGTGGCACATGAGTCTGCACTGGTTGCTTGCTGCCTTCATCTCCCTGCTGGGATGGAAGTCCATGCTGTGATGTCATTCTGGGCTTTACTCCCACCTTGGGCTCCGTGCTGGGATAGGAGTGTGACTACTGGGGGTGTTTGTTGGCTGGCAAAGAGCTGGACTTGGACAAAAATCATGAGGTCCCTCAGATCTGCAATGCATCTTCTCTTCCCAGTCTTTGCTGCTCTTCCATAGCCCTGCAGTGCTGGGATTTGTGCCCCGTGGTGCTGGGTCTGTACAGGCATCTCATGTCCCTGTTGTTCATATCCCAAGTGATGCTTCTTTGTCTGCTGCCCTCCTTTCAAGCACTGTCCTTTTTTTTTCCCCCTCGGTGTCTAGACAGCAGTAAGTTTTCTCTTATGGCATAAAAATGTGAATTACTTTAGAAATATACAGTTGTTAAACTTGCAGGGTGAAACTTAATGAGCCAACAAATGTGTGTCATTTGGCTGCTTATGATCATAGCTCAAAAGTGCAGCACAGCACAAAGGGAAGAACTCTCAAGTTTGCTCTCACCATTGAAAGCTCAGGATGAGATATTTGCTTGGAGATTAAAAGTATTCTTCCTTTTGCTCTCCTTTTCCTTGTAATGTAAAAGATCCAGGTATGGTAAATGGTATCCTGGTTGTGATGTTGTGCAGGGAATTTAATGTGAGGTGGTGTTTGTAGCTCTGGTGGCTGGTGGGATCTCTGACACACAATAAATACATTCTGTGGCAGCACACCCTACCTCAAAGCACAGCATGTCTCTGATTTTATTGCTTTTACTCTGTCATGGCAGGAGCATCACAATTAAACTTCACAGGGGTGTTTCAGTTTTAAAGCACTGTGGAGGTGCCCAGAGCTGATAACAGGCCAAAGGCCACCTCCAGGTTTGCCTCTACCCTGTTTGGTTCCACTGGTCAAGTGCGCCGAGCTTTTGGCAGATACAAATGCTCCAGATGGTACTGGGAAAAAGTGCAAATGAAAGATTTGATTTTGGCCCTTCCTCACTCCAGTAAAATCATGCTCATCTCTCTGGTAGAGCCTTTTTTTTTTAAGGCCTTTTAAAAACTTACCCCTCTTTTTTCTCTTTTTTTTTTTCCTACCCCTGCCTCTGAGCCTGTGAGTTGCAGCTCATCACTGTGTCACTGGCAGTTGTTCTGCTGGTTGTTGCAGTCTGCCATTCTTAGTGGGTACCTCCCAGCATGTTTTTCTGGTGCTAGTCTTTAAAAAGTGGATCTAATCCATTAAGCACAGTGTCTGACTTTCTGCATTGCCAGGTTTGAGCCAGGTGGGCAAGGTACTGAGTAGTGCCTGGGGTCTTGACACCTGGACATGTGCTGGTGAAGTGCAAACTTTTAGTGTGTGCTGAAACAAATACTCCCTCATGTTCTGGGTTCCTACTGGCCCTTATGTGAAGGACAGGGGCAGCTCAAAACAGCTGGTGCTGCTCTTGGGCTGTGCCTGCTGCCTCCATAGGCAGCATCATTCTTCTGCAAAGCTCTGGTGGAAGAGTGAGAGGCTGGAAGGAGTCACCTTCTGGGGCTGCTCCAACCCGTGGGCCACTACCTGGACCTAATTTTGGCTTGGGGGGATGAGGGAGAGGAGAGCTGTCATCTCCCCCCTCAGTTCCATCTGGAATGGCATGTGTGCTCCCAGGCGTGTGCTGTGCTCACACAGTGCCCAAGTCACCACCCTGTATTAGCTTATTCCAGCACATGTCCTTGTTACAAAATTAGATCCATTTTGCAAATTGCTGCTGCACTAGTAATTGAATTGAAGAGGTATTTTTGTTAGTTTTCTTTCTCTTCTTCCCCCCACCCTTTTTTTTTAACTGGAGTAAATCAGGAATAAGTCAACAGAATCAAGCCCTTAGTGCTTTCAGCAACATGCTCATTTAAATTGGATGCAAGAGGGTGTCTGTGTTTACATTTGGCCTGCCAAGAATCTCTGTTTCAGAAACTGGCTTACATAATATGTCAAAATTGGTTTACTCATTAGCATTGCAAACTGCGTGAAACAAGCCGCAGATTGATAAACTCGCAGCAATATTTGCATCCGGATCTGAGTGGCACAGGGGGAGGGGAAGTTCATTAGGAAACGTTCCATTTCCACAAGAAAAACAAATGGTTTCCAGTTACAGATCTCAGACTTCGTTAATTTTCTGTCTTCCCAAATTTAAATAAAGATTGAGAGGGAAATGTGAAAATCTCTGTTGGCAAACAGGCAGCCTGTCTTAATATTCCCTGTACTGGTGGGTTGTTTACAGCAGTGGCTGCAGGTAGGCTGATTATCCTCTCTCAGCTGGAGCTCCAGCCCCTCTGCCAGGCTTCAGCCTTCTTGGACACCACTGCTGCCTTGATTGATGCTTTCTCTGTAGCACAGGTGGGATGGACACTTTAATATTATTAATTAATTAACTTTTCCAAATGTGGAGTGGTCACCAATGCAGTAGCATGGTCCAAAGGGTCTTTGGTGGTGCTGTCTGTTCCTGGCTTTACCTGGGCAGGGCGAGGGTGCAGTCCAGCCTTGGGCAGAGCTGAGGATCCTGATGTGGTTTAGTGGTGGACTTGGCAGTGCTCCGTTAAGCTGGACTCAGTGATCTGAGGGGTCTTTTCCAACTTCTGTAATTCTGAGCTGACCTTATGCAGATGCCTCCCCTGAGTCCTGCAGTATCTGCTGCCTGTCCTGTTCCTGGTGTCACTGCATCCCTTTCAGCAACACTGGCCATGAACCTTGCACAAAGTTGATGCAAATCTGTTACATGTATACTGCTTTTCAATAGTACCTAAATTAGTTTGAGGCTTAAATCCCAGGAAGTTTTTTAGTTTGCTTTGAAACTCCCAACTCAAAAATCAGAAGTAAAAAGCTGTGATACAGCACAGAGACATGGCATAGCAGTACTGGTTTTGGCAGTAGTTCTTCTTGTGCTTGGTGATGCTGAGTGCCCCATCAAGTATTTCAGACGAATTTTTGGAAACTACTCTAATAAAGCTGGAGAAAGGACCATGCTGCAGGGTCTGCTGCAGCCTGACAAGTGTTTTGCCTTGTCAGCAAACACCAGCACATTTGCCTTTTAGTAGTGTTAGAACTGACCTACAGCATTTGTGGTGTGTTACCAGTTAGGGGAAAAAAAACAGTCCTTGGTTTCTGTATCCTGTGGAGTTGTGTTACTGTGTTGTTTGGAGGAGGTTTGTTACAGGACAGGTCCTCATCTGCCACAACCCACTGTGCTCTGGCTAAAGCTGCATCCCTACATCCTGCACAGGTGCACAGATGTTTTGAGGGCTGAGACATGGCAGCTCTCAGCTCAGCAAAACTCTTTTAATGTATGTTTTTCAAAGTTTTCAGAAGACTTTAATGAGTTTAAGTAAGCAGTTGTTAGCTGTGGGAAGGGATTTTTCTCAGTGGAAAATGAAATGAGAGGTGTTTGCATTTCACTTACTCTCACACCTTGCAGCAAGAGGCTGGTCACCATGAGATACAGCGCATTTGAGTGCCAGCTGGAGAACTGAATGCAGTGAAGAAGGCCAGGAGCAGTGAGATGCATCAGCTGGGGAGCTGAGGCAAGCTGAGTATCCTCCTGCCATCCTCCACCAATGTGCACCCACAGGCTGGAGAAGAGCTCCCAGGGCTGCGGGAGAGCCAGCATCACTCTTTGTGCTGATGCAGTGGGTGGTAAGTTTTGTGTGGTCCTTGGTCACCTTTGACCACGTGGAGTATGAATGTGACTGCAGAGTGCAGCTCCTGCCTGCATTTATAAGGCATCTAAGGGCTGCTCACAATTCAGGGAGGGAGCAAATGCTGCCCAGCTCTGCAGACCAGAGTCGCTGTGTTGTTTAATCTTCATGGCTGGAGCTCAGGAGGTGTGCAGGTAGCTGGTGAACGTTTCTGTGTATGTTAAAATGCACCACGCAGCAGAGCAGTGCTTCAGCCTGAAGAACTCTCTGAGCATCAGAGCATCTCCTCATTACAGCATCCACCAGTATCAGGCTGTATCTGCTGGAAACACAGGGCCACATCGACAGCAGTGACATCTGTCAGCCTGGCTGTGCAGCTCCTGCTTGTGGGAAAGGGGCCTGGAGTACTGTGCTCATAAAGGGTTGTCAGAGCATCCTCTGTGCCTGGATTGTGCTAGAAGTGCCAGCCCCCAACAGATAATACAACTGTATTACCAGATGAATTCAGCCTCCTTGCTTTTGTCTTCAGGATTTTCCTGTGAATTCCAGTACTTCTTGTAAATCCCAAGCCACTGGGGAAAAGCAATTGTGCTCCAATTTTGTAGTGCAGAGAACTGTTGTCACCTCACAGGTGTATCTGTATACCAGCATGTAACTTCTGTCTCCTAATAAAAGGGAAATTTGCTTTATGTCACATGTATTTGTAAATGTTTGATGCTGTGGGTGAAAAAAGAGGGTAAAACAGTGATCAGCTCAGCACTGATCAATAAACAGCACAGTATGGTTTAGTCTTGGTTACACTGAGTGGTGTTGGGGCACAGGTAAGTGCAGAGCAGACACCTTTCCAAAAGGGATCCACAGATCCATTCCTGCTCTTAATGTACTGATGTCCTGAATGCAGAGCAGAGATGTGGGACTGGCCTGAAGCCCCTCTTGTGAGGAAGTTTGCTGTGACAGGGTGTGGGGTTTGTGTGTAGCTGCTGGTGGGGGGAGCAAATGTGGCACCTTCCCAAAAAGAAAGTGGTGTTTGGCTGCCACTGATGTGTCCAGCTCACAAACAGGTGCCTGAGCTCGTCCTCTGATACATCCTCCTCCCCCCAACACATGTGGCACAGCAAAGATGTTGTTTGGGTGGATTAATAGCACAAAAATTTTCCCTCTTGGTGCAGGGCAATCCATGGGTTTCCCAGTGGTTTTCTCTGATACACAAAAAGGGACAAAAGCTCAGATTTCAGGAGGATGCTTTGGAGATCTGTGCAAGCACAGGGTCTGCTCAGCACACGTGGAGGTATGGGAGACTTGGGAAGTCTTTTCCCCTTTCTGGATGGGCTCCTTGCTGCAGCTGCAAGGCAGCTGTCCGAGGTGCAGTGAAAGGCATCTCAAAATGTAACAGAGTCCAGACAGCCCCCAAGCCCCACAATGAGGAAGCAAGGCTCCAGTGACAGTTTGGAGGATCTTCAAGCTTTTTTCAACTTCAGCCCAAAATTGTGAGCTGATTCTTTTCTATGGAGCACACACGAGGACCAAAGCAATGCTGCATTAGCAGTGGGAGGGAAGGGGCTGCATCTCCCAGCCCACCATGGTGGTACCTGCACCACAACAAAGCAATCAGCCCCTCGCCGAGGGGAAACGCTTTCTCCACTCAGGCTCTGTGTAGTCAGTGTCTAATAATAAGAGCATTTTGCCATCCCTCTGCAAACAAGTCTGAGGCTGCTGCCTGATTGGTATATCATCTCACTTTCTCTCAGCATTGATTTTCTTGCTCTCCTTATTTGCTTCATAAAAAGCGAGGCAAGGAGCTGATGCTCGCTTGCTCCCTCTCCCTCCCTCTCTCTCTCTCTCTCTCTCTCTCTCTCTCTCTCTCTCTCTCTCTCTCTCTCTCCTGTGAGAAGCTTTTGGGAGCCTTTATTTTTAGTATGAGACAAACCTTGCTTTATTTCAGGAGACGCAAGTTGGATTATAAATCCTTTTGTAAATGTGTATGGTGATATTTGCTCCGGTAAGTTATATGCATCTCTATTTATTTGTGTAACTGTACTGGCTGGGGGAGAAGTGGGGTTTTTCAGG